TCTATGTGGTCTGAATGCACAAGATGAGGACGTGAGTTCCCGCTATACTAGGTAACAAAGGACAGTAAAAAGGACAACTTGCTACTGTCCCTAGTTTGTATAGTGAGGTGGAAGCCCTGTCCCTACTGTCCTAACCTATGTTCTAGAGCTTGCATGTGAAGTTTCTGGGTGGGAAAAGTGCCATTGGCATCTCGTGGGTACAGCCCAGGCATGGTGCTAAAGATCCTACAATGCCTAGGACATCCCCACGACAAAGAGTTATCCAGCTCAGGTGAGAAAGCCCATCTAGATATCTATCCACCCATTGATCTGGAACTTTCACTTGGATTTTATATCAGGTTAATGTTGGGCATTTTAAGAAGAGTTCTCTAAATTAATGTTGTCCACGTTGAGCCTGCTTATTAATAAAAGAAACATTTATTCTACAAGTAAAACCAAAAAGCATTTAAACAAAAGAAAAATAAAAAGACAACTAATAAATAAAGGTGGTGAGGGAGAAAGAAAGAAAATTATCTAGGAAGATTAGGTGAAGGGGAGCTCCTTTAGTGGGCTTCTGAACAGAAGCTGTTGGGAAAGGGAAGACAGGGTGGGCTCCATGTCTCATTTAGCTTTGCTGTCCCGAGGCTACACCATCTTTAAAAAGACTGGGCACAATACCTGTTAATAAGAAATGAATTAAAGTGGTTAGTCCATCCTCTTTTTAAGGGCTTTTATGAATGAAGATTTTATTGTAGTTTGTTGGGTTTTTTTTCTAAACTTATGATAGTTAATCACATTCCCACTTAACAGGTTTTAGCCTATTAACTGAAACTCTGAGAATAGTTTTAAGCCATAGAGGAGAAGAAATAGTTTATCCTTGCATTCAACACATATTTTTTGTTTATATTTACAGTAGTCCCCTCTTATCTGCAGTTTTTCTTTCCTCAGTTTTATTGAAGGGAAAATTCCAGAAATAAGCATTTTCTTGAGTTTGAAATAGTGCACCATTCTGAATAGTGTGATAAAACCTCATGCTATCTCACTCCATCCCACCCAGGACGTGACTCCTCTCCCTGTTCAGCATCCCCATGCTGTCTACACCACCTACCCTCAGTCACTTAGTAGCCCTTTTGGTTGTGGGATTAACTGCAGTATTGCAGTGCTGGTAGTCAAGTAGCAGTTATTGTACTTAATAATGGCCCAAAAACTCAACAGTAGTGATGCTGGCGGTTTGGATATGCAAAGAGAAGCTGTAAAGTGCTTCCTTTAAGTGAAAAGGACTTAATAAAGAAAGAAAAAGAAATCATATGCAGAGGTTGCTAAGATATACAGTAAGAACATATCTTCTATCAGTGAAAAAAGAAAAAAAAATAATGCTAGCTTTGCTGTCACATCTTAAACTGCAAAAGTTACAGCCACAGTGCATGATAGTCTCCTAGTTAACATAAAGAAGGTATTAATATTGTGAGTGGAAGACATGATCAGAAACATGTTCTGAATAACACCAGTCAGGTTTGTTACTAACCAAGGTTACTAACCAAGGTATGGCTTGTAGGTCCACTTGTAGTCAGTCCACACTGGGGGTGTTGGGACTATTCCCTGTGGATAAAGGGGGGACTATTGTATTCTGATTCTTTCTTTGACAAAGATAAAAAAAAATAATCGGTCAGGCTAATTTTTTTTTAAACCAAATGGCATTTATCCTTTATCTCTGACTTTGTCAGGCTAAAAAAACTTTTTTCTCCCAACTCTTTGTTTTCTACCTTAAATAGGGTAATTATATTTATTTTAGATTTCTCTTGTCTTTCCAAACTCATGTTTATAATTTGAAGACTATAATGAGAAACAGTACTCTTAGATTTATAATCAGTGGCTATTTTTTCCACATTTCTTCTGTGCCAGGTTTTGTGCTTTCATATTTTTTTTGTTCTGTGAGGTAGGCAAGTTTGTCATGTCTTGCTGATAAAGGAACTGACTTAGAGAGTTTCAGAAAATATAACTGACCCTTGAACAACTCAGGGTTTAGGAATTCTCCCCCCACAAACACACACACTACCCGCACAGTCAAAAATCCACATATAACTTTTGGCTCCCCCAAAACTTAATTACTAATAGCCTACTGTTGACCAGAAGCCTTACTGATAACATAAACAGTTGATTAACACATATTTTGTATGCTATATGTATTATATATTGTGTCTTACAATAAAGTAAGCTATAGAAAAGAAAAAGGTATTGAGAAAATCCTAGGGACAATAAATTATATTTAGTATTCATTAAGGGGAAGTGGATCATCATAAAGCTCTTCATCCTGTCATCTTCATGTTGAGTAGGCTGAGGAGGAGGAGGAGAAGTTGGTCTTGCTGTCTCAGGGGTGGGCAGAGGTGGGAGAAAATCCACATGTAAGTGGACCTGCACAGATCACACTCATGTTCAAAGGTCAACTGAATATGTAAGTTCATACAGATTGTAAATTGGTAAAAATAAGATTCAAATTTAGATTTTCTGATTCTATTCCCAGGAGTCAAATGATACTATTTAGAAAACTAAAAGTACTTTCTAGCTCTTGCATATCAGATCAATAGTAGTAATTCTATTAATACCACATTGATGACTCAGTTGAGGACTGGGAAATAAGTCTCAAAACTCCTAAAGAGTGAAGGTTGCACAGTCACTACAGTTGATGATACCATATCTGATGCTCTTAAGGTCCTAGCATTATTTGCAAAATGGTTTAATTACTATATCTTAATTTTTATGCATATAGTATTATATTGATTATCTATAGTTGTATGACAAATTACCCCAAAACTTAGTTAAATTATCTCATAGTTCCCATGGGTGCTCAATGGCTATCACAAGTTTCCTGTCTGGGTATAGGCCAGGTCTGGGCTGCAGCTTCATCTGAAGGATTGACTGTGGGAGCATTTGCTTCTAAGTCCACCCATGTGGTTGTTGATAGAATTCTGGTCCTCATGGGCTGTTTGGCTGAGGGGCTCAGTTCCTTGTTGACTAGAGACATCAGATCCTTTCCACATGGGCCTCTCTACAGGGAAGTTTACAACATGGTAGGTGGCTTTTATCAAAGCAAGCAAATAAAAAAGCTAGAACAGGCAAGCAAGATGGAAGTCACAATCTTTGGGGAACCTAATCATACAAGTCACATCTATCTCATCATGTTAGTATATTATTCTTATTGGAAGTTAGTCACTAGCTTCAGCCCACACTGAAGCAGAAGGGATTGCTGCAAGAGTGTGAATACTTTGAGAAAGGGATTGTTGGGTACCATCTTAGTGATTGCCTACAACAAATACTAACTGATCTTTTTATATGTTAAAAATATTTTTCTATACTTCTTAAATAATTAATTTATATATTTATTCAGCTATAAAGCTTGCCAAGTCATCAGGCAAGTAGCTGCTCTGGTAGATACAGACGAGGCACTGAATGGAGGTGGTAGAGGGAAGGGAGGGCAAGGGAAGTTTTCTTAGTCCTACTGCCATCTAAGCCAGGCTTGAAGGAAAAACAGGTATTAGCCAGGACAGAAGGAGGTGAGGGAAGGATGTTCCAAGCAAAGGGAAGAACATGTACATACAAAGCCCTGAAGATGAGAAAGATCAATTATGATATTAAACATTTATATCCATAATCTTATAAAGGTATTACAGTTTGTGGTTATTCTTAATGAAGATGTAAACTGATCAGAATAACTGTTACATACTATTAATGTATGGTTATTTTTATATTATCAAAGTAGTTTTCTAAATGTGGTCCTGCAAGATCTATTGGGCCTAAGAACTCTGAATTTTACCTGTCCACATATATCAACTACATCGCCTTCTTTTTCTTTTAATTTTGCCTCTAGCTGAGGTAATATCCTAAAGGCTGAGCCTACAGAATACTAGGCAGAGAGTGGATTTAACAATTATACATTAATTTGGTCAGTCTGATTAGTCCAACCTGATAATTAAATTCAAATTAAAATATCTCCTGTTCCTGACACAAAAAAGAAAAGGTAGCAGGGAAGAGATTAGATTATTCTCACCTTTTTACTTCCTTTAGGCATTGAGTATACAGGTCAATAATTAATGTTCACATACTTTGTGTAATTAATATTAAGTCCCTTGATAAACAGGACAAGAAATTCATAGTATTTTAGAAAGATGCCTAATATATAATCTCTAAGTTGTACAAAATAAACAGATGTATTTATTTTCCCAGGAAGGATGTTAGAATAAATGACTACATGCAACCTTAAGAGATATAATTGTTAGTAGGAAGTATGTGTCCATTAAATTGATTGTTTGACTCTGGGTTTTAAACTTTTTATTATGTAGAATTTTAAATATACACAAACAAGACTAAACAGAATGGAATACCTTCCACCCTGCTCTATCAACCCTCAAGCTATGACCAATCTTTTGCCACCCACACTCCTAACCCACCAAATATTATTTTTAAAGCTTATTCCCCCAGCTTATCCCATATGATATAAATGATTGTATGATATCATTTCATCTATAGATAACTCAGTATATATTTCTAAAAGAGAAGCAACTGTTTTATTTTTTATTTTATAAAAATTTATTTATTCTTTTTTTTTTTGCCAATTCATTTCTTTCTATTATTTTAGTAGAGATGGGGTCTCACTCTTGCTCAGGTTGGTTTCAAACTCCTGACCTTGAGTAATCCACCCGCCTTGGCCTCCCAGAGTGCTAGGATTACAGGAGTGAGCCACTGTGCCCAGCCCAAGCAGTTATTTTAAAGCAAAACCACAGCACTATTTTTCTCCTAAAAAAAAGAATAATTCCTTAGTATTATTAAGAATTAGTCTTTTATTCTTATTTTTATTCTGTCTTTACAGTGAGATAGATGGATAGATAATTGGTAGTTCACAATTAGGGGCGATTTTACCTCCCAGGAGTCATATGGCAGTGTTTAGAGATATTTTTGTTACAGCTGGGGGGTGCTACGGGCATCTAGTGGGTAGAAGTCAGGGATGCTGCTAAACACACAGGAAAGCCCCTCATAAGAAAGAATTATCTTTTCCAAAATGTCAATAGTGCTGCTGTGGAAAAATTCAGATAAGATAGATAGACAGATAGATAGGTGAATAGCAGTTACAATGGACAAAAGCTTATAAAGAGACACAAAATATCCATGCTAGAAGGTCATTTTAATAGGCTCACAAAAGGACAAACATGGATTTATAATTGAAAAGGTGATTCGGAATATGTAGTCATTCCAATTGAAATGTCCCATAAATCAGATGGAATTTTATAATTTTTTTTTTAAGGGATGAAGATGAGTGGCCTAGTATTAATTAATGGATCATGTGCTCTAGGTGTGGATAAAGTAGTTCCTCAAAATATAATGATTCTTATGTGGAAAGCAGAGTCCAAGGAAGTAATGAACAAAATGTTTAGTAAATATGGGTAGAACCCATGTTCTGTAGCAAATGAAAAAAATCTAGAAAAAATTATTTTGAATTTACTAAACGATAATCTGTCATAAATGGCTTTCCATCCTATAAAATAATGCTGTACATGTTAATGCCTACGAGATATTTTTAAGATGAAAATTGATATGAGTTACTTTAACGCAGACCGAACTATGCTCATTATTCTCCACACAGGACCCCTGGCAATAATTTACCTAGCAGCACAGTAGTTCACGCAGATCAAAGCTGCATTATTTAAGCGTGTCCAGGAGGCAGATTTTAGCTCTGTGCCTTATATTTTAAAGAAAAAGACATTGGTTTTCTTCTTGAGAGACAAAATATGTTTAACTAGGTGCTTCAAGCAAGTCCTGCAATATTTAAACTCACAGGAATGCCTCCTGTTTTCTGGGAAGAACCCTTGCCCTACCCCAAATACTCTAAAATCTCAGAGGGTTATAGAACAACTGTGGGAAAGCCAATTTCTTCAAATGAACAGCGATGCCTTTAAAGTGGATTTTCGTTTAAATTGAACCCAAATGTAAATTAGATTCAGGAAAGGAAATGGCAGAGGAGAGTCTGTCGTTGATATAGAATGTGCCTGCCTGCTTCGGCTCACAGACAAGTGATGAAAGTCCAACTCTGAAATTTCAGGCCATTTGTATACCAAGCTCCTCCTTTTCTGCAGTCTTCTTTTCCATTGGTAAAATTCTTTTGCAGGGTCATGTAGGGATCCCACCCCTTCCCTGTGTTTTCACTCTGAAGCTCTACACAACTTTACACCTGAATGAACGCCAAACCTCTGTGGATATATAAAGGGAACCTTGAGGAGGAATTTCACAGTTACAGTGCAGAAGCGGAGGGAAAAGAATTAACCAGCTCTTCAGCCAAGCAAATCTTTTACTCACCATGCTTCCTCCTGCCATTCATTTCTATTTCATTCCCCTTGCATGCATCCTAATGAAAAACTGTTTGGCTTTTAAAAATGATGCCACAGAAATCCTTTATTCACATGTGGTTAAACCTGTTCCAGCACACCCCAGCAGCAATAGCACGTTGAATCAAGCCAGAAATGGAGGCAGGCATTTCAGTAACACTGGACTGGATCGGAACAGTAAGTATGTTTTACTTGTACAGATTTTGGTTTTTGCTTTTTTTTTGGTAGCATTAGCTCACCTTCCTGCAGAATTGTTTCATTGTTAACTAACCTGAACTGTATATATTTTGCTAAACAGTCTGGGAGTAATCTGCTGCATGTGTAGGTTGGCATTCTTCCCTGGATAGTGATTTTAAAGTTCACATAAGTAAAATAGTGGTTTGATAACGCAAGCAAGGACTTAAGTTGTATCAAATATCCACAAAGAAAATGTTTCCAGGAATTAAACTGTTGCTTCTCTAAAATCATGCAAAACGAGAATTTTAAAAAGTATTGTTCTAGATTAAGTTCAGGTTGGTTTGTCAGTTCATTTCAGGGCATGTGCAATTTTGGTAAAGTGTATAAAGGTAACTAACCAAAAGTGTGTATAGGAAATCACAAGGGAAGAAGGAAGCTTTCAAGAGGGAAAAATTGTTCACATGGATTTCTAGAAAGATGTCTAATGAAATAGTTGAAAGTTTGGATGATGCTCAATGTAAAAGAGAGATAAAACTGAAAATGTTTGAGAATCATATTTTTCTAAAATAATTCCTTATCAACCATTTCAAAATTTAGGTAATTGTATATTTCTGTGAAAGACTGGGGGTAATTTCATAACTTAAGAGATTTAAAATAACAGTACAACGATGTTTAGTACAGGGAACATTTTTTTTTCCTTTTCTGTTTGCTTAATTGACCACTGGTGAGGGGGATTCAAATTTCTTCAGCTAACTTTTGTTTCAGTCCTTTTCTTTAGCAGAGTTCATATGCTAATAATCAGGTTTTAAGACAGAGAAACAGTGCAGAGGAAATCTTACACAAACTTTTGCCCCTCCTTCTTCACTCTATTCAACTACTAAAAGTAGTTTTGACCTTTGAAAAGGCAAAGCAAATATGACTGTGAACGTCTAAAAAAACCAAGGTGTTTTAACTTTCATGAAGATGGTTGACTTTAAGTACATAGGAAATATCTGGTTATTATTACATCACTGAGCAATGTGGTGAGTGAGTATTCATTGTCAATGAACTGTCACTGCAAAAATGCCGAATCTCTATATACACAGGAACAAAAAGCTAGACAAATCAAAGTCATCTCTGGCTATTTCCAGGTGCATTCCCGAGGCAGCTGCTCCAAGGTGAGCTGGAATCAGAATCAGGCAAACTGAACACAGTGTCCAGCCAAATAATTTACCCTTTACATTTAATCCTACAACTCTAAATCTATATGCATGTATGTGTATACACATATTTTTCCACAATGATTACATTTCCCTTAGGCTATATCTCTTACCTCAGAAGTACTGAGATACAGAGTAAAACTCCTAATTCAGTTTTTACTCTGAGTTAGCTTTCAGTTTTCTATGTAGAACTACTTCAATGTCTCTTATTATTTTTATTTTTACAATTTCAGCAGCCTATACTTTTAAACATTTTTTCCCCTGGTTAACAAGCCTTGATTTCTTTACAAGCTTGTTATAGGCAATTCTCCTCAAGTTTAGATAACAAAGCAATGGTAAGGAAAACTTCAAATATTTCCAGATTCATTTTTGCTTTAATTATAGAAGGCATGTAACAAGAAACAGCCAATTAGAGAACATATCTATCAAATCCAAATAACTAAAACAAAAAGCTTGCCATGACCAATATTCAGGAAATGAACACCGTGGTTCCTTTTGCAGTTGTAAATCAGACATGTTAGGCATTTTTCTGCCATAAAATTCATGGAAATGTAGCCAAGTTGTTATGGCAACCATACGTTCCTGATTTAGGGGCTTTTATATTCTTTACATTTTGAGCTGTAGTGACATTTTCCATTTCAAACATTTTACTATTTGTATTTTTAAAAGATAGCTTGGGAATTTATGTTTAAAATGTAGTTATTAAGTTTGATATGCAAAATGTCAGATGGCATATATGTATGTAGGATTCTCTGCAGCTGAATTCTATAGTTGAAATAAAATATTATAGAGTGTATATGCATTGCACACAATATTTGAATACTTTCCATATTTTCTCAACGGATTTTTAAAAAATCTAATTAAAATCACTTGCAGACATTAACCAATATGACCCTTGAGAAAAAGAACATTGGTGTGTACTCTTTTAACTCATTGAAGACTGAATATTTACATATAAATTTAAGAGCTGCTAAACCCTTACTGGGAAGTAAGGCTAAGAAAATGGGATTTTTAAATTATCAAGTATGCAATTAGCTAACGTTATACATGAAAAAAATCAGGCCTAGATTTTGTTTTTTTACCAAAATCTTTATAGCCATGTAAACTAATGATTTTCATCAAAGTATCTCTACAACTATGCATGCAGATTTTTGCACTGTGGAAATGAAGTAGACGTTCACTTTCTGTCTGGCAATTTGCCATCATTTGGATATTATTTTTGTTATTGCAGATTAATTTTTTTTTTTAAAGTCTTCATTTGTGTTTTGTCCCTGATGCACATTCTTTTCCATTTTCTGCAGCTCGGGTGCAAGTGGGTTGCCGGGAACTGCGTTCCACCAAATACATCTCTGATGGGCAGTGCACCAGCATCAGCCCTCTGAAGGAGCTGGTGTGTGCTGGTGAGTGCTTGCCGCTGCCAGTGCTCCCCAACTGGATCGGAGGAGGCTATGGAACCAAGTACTGGAGCAGGAGGAGCTCCCAGGAGTGGAGGTGTGTCAATGACAAAACACGTACCCAGAGGATCCAGCTTCAGTGCCAAGATGGCAGCACACGCACCTACAAAATCACAGTAGTCACCGCCTGCAAGTGCAAGAGGTACACCCGGCAGCACAACGAATCCAGCCACAACTTTGAGAGTGTGTCGCCTGCCAAGCCAGCCCAGCATCACAGAGAGCGGAAAAGAGCCAGCAAATCCAGCAAGCACAGCATGAGTTAGAACTCAGACTTCCATAACTGGACTGACTAGTAACCATCTGCTTTACAGATTTGATTGCTCGGAAGACTCAAGCCTGCCATTGCTATTTTCTCACTTGAAAGTGTATGCTTTCTGCTTTGATCAAACCCAGCAAGCTGTCCTAAGTATCAGGACCTTCTCTGGGAATAGTTTTTTTCCTTTTCAAGTTTTTCAAGATGTACATATATACATGAATGCAATTTGCATTTAAGTTCCATGCATCCTGTAGTTTTAATTCCCCACCATTCTTAAAAGACTCTTGATACTATATACATCACTGAATCATTACATTTTAAAACAGAAAAGGGCCTCTCAGTTACCCTCCATCCTCTAACCCATCCCTGCCCCCAAACAAAACCTCTTCAAAACAGGAAAGTTGTTTTTTTTTTTTTTTAAGTTGCTGTGAATCTTCACAGTAAAATTTTAGAAAGGTGCTTTTTTGGTAATCTTCATGGGAACAGTTTAGCAGCCATGATCGATCTTCCTTTGAAAGAGAATGAAAGACCTTGTGACATTTCACTTCAAAAATAAGCCCTGTAGCTTTTTACAGTCGCATAGAATGAAATTATACCCTGCATGCTGAACTTTGCTTGGAATGGAATGCCAGAAATGCATGGCAGCAGCTAATAAGTAAAGCCGATTAACTATTTATTTGTCAATGTTATTATTTAATGAGCTTTCACATGTGATCTTTTTTCAAAATATTAATTTTTTATGTTTTGAATCTTTTTCATGTACCTAAATATTTTCCTACATGATTTGTGTTTGATCTAGAAATATGAAAAATACATGTTATAGATATGTAAAATAAATATGTTAGTCTCATTACGTGTTTCATCACAAACTTTATCAACAGTATGGATCTTTTGAAATCAATAAGATGCTTTGTAAAGCTGAAATATGTAATACTTTCTTGTTTAGTCTGTGCAATCAGAAGGTGCCTTGACCTTCATTTCCATTGGTTTAACAAAAATAAATACTGCTAAAAGTTATTGTCCTTGCCTCTAACATGTATAAAAAGCTACATGTTTCCAAAATTTATAGAATAAATGTGTAAGAGTAACTGCTTTTTTTTTTGCTAAGTCACATTCAAGCTTTGACAGAAATATCTGTAGTAAGCAGGAGAGAGAGACAGAGACAGGGAGATCATCTCTTCAGTAAATGGGATGGTTGAAAAAAGTTGGGTGGCAATCCAGCAGTGAATTGTAATGAGAATATCAAATTCATATATACCAGTGGTTGCCAAGTCTGCCGCACATTATAATCACCTGGGGGAAATATTATAAGACCCAATGCCCAGGCTTTCATCCAAATTACATCAGAATTTCTTGGGGTAGATCATAGATATCAACAGTTTTTTAAGTTTTCCAGGTGATCTCAATGTACAGCTAATTTAGAGAAAGGAAAGAATTATGAAGATATATCTTATGTTGGGGAATTTTGAACACTACATATTATATGGTACCCTCTCAACCAAAAAAATAAAATGTAAATAATAAAGAGGACAAAAAATTTTTTTCAGTGTTTTCAATTTTGCCATGTTGTTATATTAAGCAACATTATCACAGTCTTGAACATGATTATATAGTTAAATGACTGACGTGTCAATTCAATCAAATTATTAATTCCATCACTCCAAATGAAGAAAACCAACAAGGCTTGGTTATGTATTGACAAAATTTCCTGGGTTTTCCCTTTTGGGATGCTGAACATGGAGGACTCGTTAGTACATTTTTGTATAGATTTTTGTAATTACAAGTCTAAAAATCACATCTATCATACACAACATACTAAGCTAAATAAGAATATTAAAATTGTCCATTCTCTATGAGACATACAAAAGTCTCAACATATAGAAAGATAAAAGATAAAAAACTCCAAATTTTATAATAATGCTATTATACCATTAAAGAAACAAATCAGTCTGCCATTAATTTATTGTTCCATCTTAATAAGTAAGATCTTAAATTATTTCATATTATGTCATCATATTAATACATGGGAAATTCATAATAATTATACCACAGGTTGAATATATACCAAAAATGTGTTGTTTTATATGTCTATTTAACTTGCTCATTCTCAGTATGTGATATTTAAGATAATAGAAAACTTAAGACACTTATAGTCATTTCTTCCTTTTCAATAAGATAGCATCTTCTATAGAAGGCCTTAGAGATAGTTTCTTAGTGTCCTAAGATCTGAGGCATAAAAAGGATTTGATATGACAAATAGCTTTTCATACTCAAGAAGACTATGTCATTGCCTTTTACTTAAAAAACATTGAAAAAAGCTTTTGGCAGTAATAAAATGCTAACACCTTCACTGATTTGATTGTTAATAGTGTATTAGTTCATAATATACTAAGAAAAATGAAATGGATTAAAAAACTCTCATAAATCAAGAATTGAATTTATTTCTCACGATCACATTCAATTTACTGAGCCACTTCAGGCCATGCTACATTAAGGATGCACTCATGGCATTGTATTTAACAACAGATGGCAGGAAAAAGTTAACAATCAGCAAGATAGGCCTAGAATAAAATTAGTCTCCCAGTGGGGTAAAAATTAAAAGCCATCAGAAAGAGTAGCTGGTAGTTATCATTTTTAAATGCTAAAATGCACTGTGCCCAAATTGTTAATTGTATTTCAAGTTTTTTTTCAGTTAACTCACATGTTCCAATCTGATAAACTGTTCATAATTTTATCACCTTAGTAACTATCATTTCAAAATGGCAGATTTTGATAACTTTAGCAGGTCTTATCTCTAGTTTACACTCATAATATCTATCCATGAAAGGATTTGCTTATCTAATTTATTTTGGCCAGATGGAGGGCTTTTTCAAGTGATTTGATAGATAGATATTTATACAGATACATAGACAGATGAATAGATATAGGTATATTGATATTTATGGATAGATTAGATACTTAGAGACATATATCAATAGAAAGAATGAAAGAAAAATTAATAGCACATATGCAAATAAATAACATATATCATATGCTAGACCTAAGCCAAAAATGGACATGAAACATTCGAAAATATCTATTTGCAGGATAGTTAATATTTTAGTTACAGATCATTTGTATTTATTAATTTATGCTAGTTACAAACAACTACTATTTGGCAATACATTGATAGTCAGGCTTATTTTATTGTATATTTTATGAAAAGCAATCAAAATTAGGATGTATGTATAAAATACAACAGCAAATCTTAATTAATTCCTGCCTAATATCAAATGAGTAAGGTTTTACCAGGAGATCTTGCAATCTCACATACTCTATAAATCACTACTGTGTATTGAGCATGATGTTTTTAATAAACACTCAGGGCAATGGTCACACTAAGGAGTGTGAGTAGAGAGAATAATATTTAGTAGTAGCAAAATCAGGAAACTACCAAACTGCTGAATAAAATTAAAGCTTTTGAAAGCTTAAATTTAGTATGTTGTAAGTTTTTCTTGTAGCCTTCACGAAATTTTAGGTATCAAAATATAATTCATTATTTTTAGAATAAGTATCATTTATATTAAACTTGTGAAAATACTTAAGATAAAATGGCAATTCACTCCTAAATTTAGCATTTATAGGGTTCCTGTAGCCATATAGTCCTAATAAAAAATGAAATGCATGGCAAGTTTTGATGGAATTCTTGTAGAAACCCAGAAGGAGTTCAGTGGGGAGGTGACTTAGGATCCTCAGTGCTAGAGAATAGCTTTCTCTGGTTAGAATATGTTTTCTTCCCTCAGAGGCAGATAGAGATGACTTTCATCTTGGTTTCACTGGAACCTATTAAAATATACTTCCATGTTAAATTGAAATGAGTCTAGATTTGTGAACTAAGCAGACATTTTGGTCACTAGAAATCTTTGTTTGCATCCACAAAGAAAGACCTGCTGACATAGACATCCCCAAAGACATTCTACTTGTCAGTGTCATTTTCAGTTCCATTGGTGTATGCATCATTCCCAACTCGATAGCTAATATCACATTTGGTGCATTTGCCTGCATATTTTGCAAATTGTCTTAAAGAGCTGTAGAGTAACAACTACTACAGAAATCTCAGTGGGAAGATGTTTCCATTTTCAGGTTTAAGAACTGATTAAAGTTGAGTTAATGCCAAATGGAATGCACAATTATTTCCAGAGCAAATTAGAATGAGTTTATCATGTGCATTGGCTGACTTGCTAAATAATTTATTTTCTGTTAGTAAATGAAGAGCAAAACAATTTCTTATGAAGAAACTTAAACTATTTTCCTCTCATTTTTTGGTAATTGCAAACCAAATGTTACTTTTAATTATTGATTTCATTTTTAGTAGTGGGATTAGGTGCTTGAATCAGAAAGAGAATGTCTAAATTGAATGACATTGTCAGTGACACAGATATATTCAGCCAAGGTTTATTGTTACTAATACTGATCAAGAGTTCGATAAGGCTTAAAGATAAGTAACTATTAAAAACATATATCACTTTTTTCAGTAGAAATAAATTCGTTTTTTGAAATTTGTTGTCATTAGATTCATATAAATTTTAAAAATATTACCTTACAATATTGACAGATTTGTCACAAAATGATCTTTTCAGTCATTTTATTTATTGAGATGTTAATCTAAATTTGGCATTCAGAGACAAGCCTAAAACAATGAACCCAGCTGTCCAGTAACTAGGACTTTTTAGGAATCTTTTATAATTCTTAGTCAGCATTATACTTTATTTTAAATAGTTGACTCTTTTTACTGACCTGACCTTTCTATATAACTGGGTGCCTTATTTTCTCTCTTAATTTTTGATATATGATTTATAAGTTATAAAATTATTTCTTTGATTTTTTGTTTACTTCCTCAAGCAAGAAGAATTTTTTTAAAAAACTTTCTTGCCACAAATTTCTTTATTGTAAACCTAAGGCAAAAAATTGCCAAATGTATTTAATAATCTAGTGAAGACTTGCCATTTTGCTATTCATTAACTCCATCTTTCCTATGAGTTGATTAATTTTGTTTACTCTTTATAGTAATAAAGAAAAATTTTATATTTAATCTGTGACTTAGTTTTATATTTTAAAAACAATAAACAAAGTTTTCAATTTGACTCATCTGTAATTTTCTTATGTAGTAACTTTATATAAGTGACTTTCAAGATATATAAACTTGGAAACCTGAGATCTAGTTTAGACTACTATGCTGCTACTAATTTGTTGGGTGAATTAACACTTGTTTCCTCAGCTCTTAAGACACAATTACTTCATCTGTAAGATAAGAGAGATGAATTAGATAATGTCTAAATGTCTTCTAGCTCTCAAATATTCACATTTTATCCTTTCAAACAATATGGTCATATTTATAGTCACAATGATATCCAAAGAGACAGATTTGATTTATTCTACTCTAGTTTTGATTATGTCTTCAGTTCACTCAATTGTGAAAGTTAGGAATAAGATTTTGGTCAAACTTGTTAATGGAAGTTGACGTATTCCATCATAACCAATGGCTCTGTAAGGCAGGCAATATATGATGCAAGTGGAGACCCAGTTCCTGGAGGGCTGAGACTGAAGCTCATAACCAGGCATTTTCCACTCTCTGTCCAAACTTAAGCAAACATCAGGAAAATGTTAAAGACCAGGGAAAAGGTGAGGAAACTTTACACAAAACAGAGTAGAATTTTTCTCTGCTAAAAAACTTTGCTTATTACCTTTCACTTCTAGAGAAAAATAATAAGAAAAAGTTGTAAATTATAATGAGAATTGGGTTTTTTTGTAGAACAGTAATATCATGTTTTTGTTGAAAGTTTTTATTTTAAAAATTATAACCATACATGGTATGCTACAAGCAGTATAGCAGTATTTCTAGTCAAAATATTTTGATTTTTGAAATCTATTCATTAATCTATTTCTTCATTTAGTAATTATTGAAAACATAACCTGTTCCTATTAAGTTATAAGAATACATTGATAAACAAATGGCAATACAATTAAGAAAAGAAAAAAAATGCCTTATTGTAAAATGTAAAAGTTAATACATATAATCCCATTCTTGAGCAAGACTCATGGGTATCATTGCTATGATCCATTACCTAAATTCTACTATCTGGACTTAAAACAAGAAAAATATATTTCAGAAGGGAATGCTAATATTGCCATAAGCATTTGAGGTAAACTATAGTAGATATAAGTACAGTAAAAAGAATCTTTCTTTATGATTGTAAAGCCTGCCAAATAGAGTTGAAACCTTTATTTTCAAGCAGACATAATCTTAGCACTAACCTCTTAAAAAGGACCTATCATCTTTGTATAAAATTTTATAGAGATTTTTCCATTCTATTATTTAACAATCTGTATACTCATAAGTTGCTTTTTGCCATCCATATTCTTCTAAATGTTCATATTAAACATAAAAATTCCTGTTTCATGATCGTTTCTGTGGGTTAGGTGAAGTCATTTTGTTGCTAATAACATGAGTTTAAAGGCAATAGTTGTAGACAACTTCAGCAAACAAAATATGTAGAGATTTGTCTGTCTGCTCCACTAAATATTGCCTCTATCCAATATGGAGAAGGATATTTTAAAATAATTTTACACTTTTGAAATAATGCCATTGTAATCAATTTGCTCTGGAGAGGAGCATGTGATGATAGAATGATCTGCCTGGCTGCATATGGTAAGGGCCCAGCAAAGCAATCTCCAAGAATATGGAAAATTTTATGAATCACACCATATGACTGCAGTAATATCATGCAAGCCATGTTGTTATTGTATAAGTTAAGCTGGTTCTCAGTCATTAACATATGTTTGAGGGTAATACTTTTTTAAAGACTTGAATTGCATTTGTGTAAATATATATTAATATTATATCCCCATTCCTTAATCCATATAATGGTGAAAAAAATCCAAGAGAATGCCTCCAGCAGATGTTGGAGCTGGAACAAGGCTTTTTTTTGATCATCATGTTCTTTTGGAGTTAAGACATTTATGATCCAGTAACATTTTTAAACTGAAACAGGTATGCTTACTGTACATTCTGAGTTAAGGATTTTTTTTTACTGTGTTTCTTTTGTCTCTTTTATTATCAATAGTAAAGATAAGTGTGTTCAGTGGGAAGATGACCACAATACCAGAGCAGCTGTATGTTGAGCTGAAGTGAAGAGCTAGGGGATGCTGACGACAGGGAAAAATGGCTTGTAAGACATAATCAACACCGTAGAGTACCTTGGGACTGCTGCCAGAATAGAACCTTCAAACACTGTGTAATTTCAAGGCTATCAGAAGCCCTGCTGTTCCCTTTTCCTGGTTAAAAAAACAAAAACAAAACACTCCAGATATCTTGTATCTATTGATATCTTATATTCTATTATCAGAAGATTATTTCCATTATTTAACATTTTTTATCCCTCTCAAATAAAAATATCTCTGGAAAAGAAAACACACCAAAGACAAGGTTTGCAAACTCAGTACCTATTCAGACAAACAGGTTGGGAGTAAGGCAAGGGCAAATGGTGAGACTGCAGAAACACTATATAAACAGCTTCAAATCTGTTCCCAGATACAGTAGCCAAATTCTATTCTACCCCATAGAATTTTGCTACTGTATCTGGGAGCATCTTTTATATACATACAGTAGCATCTTTTATATACATTTTACTACTTTTTAAAAAATAGCAGTAAATTAAGAAAAATTTTTCTATCTACCAAACTATACATACCTGCCCATTTGCTGGGTCTGTTGAAGCTGTTTTATGAGCCATATAGGGTATTTAAACAAACTCCCAGTCAGAAGTTAGGAGACCTGAATGCTAATCTCAAGTCTGCTCTCCTAAAGGGCCTTGGAAAATTCAGCTACATTGTAAACTTCCTGAGTTCTGAGTTGACATCTCTGTATTAGTTAGCATCCCAAACGGAAACAGAAGACACACTGAAAATAAGTGAAGGAGGATTTACTTACAAAGAAACTAATCATAAAAGCCTGGATGGGGAAAGCATAAGGTAAAGTGCAGAAGCCCAGGGCCAGCAACAGCAAAGCTGTCACCAAACCAGGCCCTGAAAAATGAGAGAAGGATGAGGTTATTGAAACCTGGAAGGTCAGGGCACATTAAGAGAAGTAGTAGGCTGTGGTTGAGCTGAGTCAGTCAGAGGAACCTGCAAAACAAGGGAGCCAGGGGAATAACAACCTTGTCATTCTCCTTCCTTCTTCCAGTTGATCTCCCGCCAGGGCGCCCCATTGGGTGACCTCATCTGGAGGCCACAGGGACTTGGGAGCTGGTAAATGTAATCCACATAGATCACCCTTGGGCTTACCTCTCTTTGCAACATCTGGAACAATATATTGCATTTAGTAGGCATATTACAGAATCTCTCTTGTTTTGTTCATTTGTAAAATGTAGATATTGAGATGCTTTCCCGTTCAGCATTATCTTCTCACTTCATTTTATACTTGAGATGAGAATATGAAACTGACAAATTTGGGAGGAATTCTGAGAGCTTTAACTGTCTTACCCTAAGGTACTTCAAGAAACAAATGGACCTAAATTAAGCCAAAAAGGACACAAAAACTGAGATGACTTTTTTTTGAGCAGTATCATCATGTAGCAGGTGAAAAACAGGGGAAATGTTTCCTATAGAATCCTATAGCTTCTGAGAAATTTTCACATTTTTATATTCTAGAGTGGGCAATAGGCATTGGCTGTTTGTTTTGTTATTAATGTTGTTAGATGTTTTAATAACAACCATGTTATTAAAATATGCAGCAATTGGTGAATGATTAACTATACATTAATACATTAATTTCTATTTGATAGTTTGTTTCAAAAATGTCACTCAAACTTTGGAGTAGGATATTAGTTGGAGGAAGAAATCAGATAGTCTATAAGTCCACTAAAAATTAACTGAAAACAATGACTCATCAAATATGATAATGCTCACCAAAAGGAATTATCTAGAACACATATATACTATGCTAAGCTTATTCCTCAACCTTAGAAAAAGAGAGCATTTGAATCTCGCAGCTCTTAAGGTTGGCTGCCATTGTAATCTTTGGTGAGAATAATACTCCAGAACTAAAACCCTAAGGTTGAAGGTCTATGGCTTAGAGGTAGGATAGCTGCATAACTCCTATATGATTCATAAATGTGTAATTCTTATCCATTCACATTGTACCCACCAGTAGTCATCAGCATAACCCATCAGCCACACAAAAATTGTAGAAGGACATCACTGTGGTTGTCTGCACAGCTGGTCTCCTCACGTGGGACAGTAATGATCATATCACAGTTTCACAGAGTAGGACAGATCCAGGGAATGACGACAGCAGTGTGCCAAGCCACTTTAGATACACATCAAAGCCAATCTTGAAACTTGGCATAGGTGTGGAATGATGAAAAATGAAGCGCCCAGCATTCAGAATTTCAAAGACTCACTTTAAGGGGAAAGCACTGTGTAGATAAAAGACGATGAGACAGAATGAACAGCTGTGCCAGGCTTTGCTTAGTGGTTACATTGCTGAGGACAGCCTTTAGATGTACAGAGGATAAAAAGCACTGCCAACTTTGCAATTTTTTTCCTTCACCTACATTTGAATGCATAGAAATAACAACTCTAACTGGAACGGTTTCCTTTTCCTCTCATTCCACTCTCTAACACTTGAAAGGCTATGTGTTGGGCTTAATCCAGAGAGTGATATTACTTGACCCAAATAAAGATTCTAGGATGTTGGGATCTTTGGAATGGGAATATAGAAAAGAAAAGATTAAATAGGGAATTCATTCAAAGTTCACTTCTAGTTTATTTGGCATATTGTTAGATAGCAGTGCATAGTAGTTAAGAGTACATACAGGTAACAGACCTGATGTTACCTATCTGTTACCTGAGTACATACAGGTAACAGATACCTGATTCGAACCCTGACCTTGCCACTTTTTTGGCAAGGCAATCAAGTAATAATTGATTACTTTGAAAAATATATGCCTCGATTTCCTCATCTGTAAAAGGGAGTAACTATGTCTACCTTATATGTTCCCACATATAAGAATTATACTGCTAGGTGTAACTGCTCTACTATTCTTGTTATTATTATATCTCTTTAGTTGAGACCAGCTAGTTCAGTGAAGGAGACCATAGACTTGAGTAGGGACTTTATCTTCTCCAAGCCACCAGTCCAGAAAGGAGACTAGGAGTAGGACAGGGAGAAATAGAGGAAGGAAGAAAGAGTTAGCAAGGTAGAGGAATTCAAGGTTGAGGACAAAAGCATTCTTTGGGAGACATTCTGGACTGATCTTTTTAATTTTAAATAAAAGTAAAAAGCTTTGGCAGTTTGGTAGTTTTCAGAGAGGGAGTTTTTCTTTTCCTGTATTTCATGCCTTTGTTCGTTCTCTTTTTGAATCATCTCAAGCCTGCTTTTCTTGGCAATGTTGCCATTTTCCATTTATTTCATATATTTATATGACATAAAAGTTGATATAGGAAATATTTTTACACATTTATTCTCCTTTTACCTCTACACTTATCCTCGACTACTATTGTATTTGCTTACTTTACCAATGCTTCACTTCAGGGCTCACCTTCCCCTGTTCATTTCTTCTAAAAAAGGAACAAGAGCAGCATTTCTCTTGCTTCATTCCTGCTTTTTCATAATTCCAATAAAATATGTCAATCCAATCCTAAATGTTCAGATTGCCACTTTTATTCTGTTTTCTCATTTTATTATTTATGTTATGTGATGGCTTATAAGTCTTTAAAGTCAATCTCTAATTATTTGAACTTGTTCTCCACAAGAAAAAAAGAATATTGATCACCTTTGTCCATATTCGTTTACTTATTTATTTATAAATTATGAATATATACAACTAATGAATTTATATGTACATTTTCAAACATTTAAAAATAGATACTGAATGAGATAAAATTGAATAAAAATTTTCTTCCTATGCTCCAATGGTTTATAGAAACTTAAAAAGTAATAATGATATGACATTTAACCAAGGTGGGCAGCAAAAATAAAGACAGAAATAATAATGATACTGCTATGGTCTAAATGTTTGTGTCCCCACAAAATTCATACGTTAAAGCCTAATCCCCATTGTGATAGTATTAGGAGGTAGGGTTTTTGGAAGGTGATTAGGTCATGAGGGCTCTACTCTCATCGATGGGATTAGTGCACTTATGAATGGGACTCCAAAGAGCTAGCTAGTGCCTTTAGCCACATGAGGACATAGGTAGAAGGTGCCATCTGTGAGAAAAAGGCTCTCACCAGATATCAAATGTGCCAGCACCTTTATCCAAGACTTCTTGGTCTCCAGAATTATGAGAAATAAATGTTTGTTTTTTATAAGCCACCCAGTTTATGGTATTTTTGTTATAGCAGCCTGATTGGAATGAGATAAATACAAAGAAAGAAGAACATGAACAAGTAAATTTGGCTATATTCTTTGAAAATCATAAGCCACGTATAATTTTGGAAAACTTGTACAAGATTTTATACTATCCATTTGAACTATACTTCTAAGCATTTCTTGAACATTTCTCAATTCACTATTACTACCCTGAAAACGCTCTGTGCCATCAACACTTGAGCATTAAAAATTACAAAATCCTTTGAGACCACAACCTGATTTTAATCCTTCTCTTCTTGTTTACTAATTTCTTTGCCATGTATATGCCAAATTATATGCCAACATAGTTTTATGGGGTAAAATCCAGAAGACAATAATATAAATATAAATAAAATATTTAACATTATTCTAAAAAGCAATGACAAAATTCCAGGGAAATGTGTCTGCTCTACCTGGAAGTATAATTTATTTGTGGTCTTACAAGAGGATATTTGGAAGAAGTATAAATAGAGGCTTTGTTGCTAAAGATTTTTTCAGCATGGTTTGCTGGTATAAAAAAAGTGATAAAACTTTTTTATAGTAGTATACCCTTAATATGCTTGGCAGATTTGTTTTACAGCCTTTAAAAACTTTATATTCCCAGTTAATGGCTGCATATAATATGGATATTAACTCTTTACTCATGTCTTTTATATGTATATATATTAGAAAGGGAAGCCACATTAAGAACATTAGAATTTTCCTTTCTGTGGATGAAAAAAACTTCATTTCTTTTACTCTTTTAATGTATAACTTGGTAATTTTGAAATAGTATCTAGCTTTTTTCTTTCCTGTTTTATGTTTGTTTTCCATGGTTTCCAATGGGCAAACTCATTGTCACATAAAGGTTAAACCAGCTCTGATTAGGAAGTGATTTCTATTACAACAGTACCTATAAACCTTGGATTAACCATCAAACTCTCTTGGAATGGAAATAAAAATAATATTATTATTGGATGGCTATGTCATCTATGGCTATATAACCTAAACCATATAATTGAGCACTTAATTGCACTAGGATTTAGTTGCAACATTTTTTCTTTAATTGGATTGAAATTTCTTGGAAGGATAGACCATGTTTTGTATCATCTGTATAGCCCCTACATAAAAGCCAATGCCTTCTTGATGAGGAAGAATTATTCTTGTTTTTCCAAACCATACACTCCTCAATTAGGTGAGGCAGTTGGGACTGACTGTTGCTATGAGACAGGAAGATGCTCTGGAGACTCTCAGATAGCAAGATGGCCAGATGTCCCCTCTTACTCTTTCCACCACGGGAAATGTCCCACAAGCTGTGGCAAGGAGGCCAGGCTGCAGCTCTATTTTCCTGTTGATGGTAGGACTTGAAGTCAACTCCTGAGCCCTAGTTAGTTGGGATTCCTCTGAAACAGGTGAGTGCTAAATGGATAGCTGTAAATTAATTAATAGAGAAGTTAAAAGTATTGGTGAGGTTTGCTGGGAAAGGGATTTTAACACAAAAGTTGCAACCAGTGTGCATCAGGGATTTATGGAGAGTCTGTTTCATGTGGATGGTGTTTTCCCTCATGTTTATAATCATTTTTTCCCAACTTGTTTTCAGGATCATTATCCCAACTCAGTGTCACACTCTAATATTATATGTTTCTTGATTCTTTAATTCAGTCTTTAGGCAGGTGAAATCAGCATCCCAAGCAGGGTTTTGAGGTTCAGACAGATGACTAGTTACAGTGCATACACATGCCCTTAATACAAAGAGTCATTGTCTAATAAAGCAGAAAAATCTCAACAATGTAGATAAAACAAAGTAGGTTTTTGTGCAAACCTAATTGATTCATTTTCTCTTTGATATGGTTTTCATACATCAAAATAGGGTTTTAGGACTAGTTGAGTCACGCAGTTATATTTTAATTATTTTATTCCTTTTTTTCCTGGTTCTAAGGTTATTTCAACAATGTTCATAAAATTTTTTGTAAGCCATAGCCAAAAAGGTAGTGATATTAAGATAGTCTTTTAACTTCAACCTTGAGAGAGCTTAGACAACCTCTTTACTTTAGCCTTGAAATACTGTAATTTCTTGTTACTTGAATAAATTGTCTTTTTCCACTCCAGATGAGACCTGAGATTTAATGGACCTTAGCAATGGCCTAAGGTGAATAAATAGCTTACTCTTGCACAAGATCTAGCCTATTTCTGGAGAGACAAAACGTGACACATAAAATGTGCTAGCAATAAAATCAAGTAAGCAGGAAGTATTGCAAAGTTCTATTCCCAACTACATCTCTGAACCATAAAGACTTGACAAAGGTCATCAGTTTATTTCATTGCTTTGCCTCCATTTCTTTATTTGGGCTAAAATGTGTTACCTGTGGGGGAGAATCATTCATATTAAGTTATTATAATAGGTTCCATGTTATAGTGGTTATACTTCAGGGACTGTCATATTTGCTATCATGAAATTAATTCTGTGTAGTCATGAACAGTATTCTATTTCAAATCTATTATATTTGCCTTTGGACTTATTAATTATCAAGACTAAGAATCCTGAACCTAATACTGAAGGAGAAGAAGACACAATTCAGAGGGAAAACCTAATTAAAACTATAGGAAAACCATGAAGAGATATATCTACAGTGTATATATATGAAGCCTGAGTCCTCCAAAGCTTTAAATATCACCCAAGGAAGAACACTGCCCATGGACAAAGTGTCTGGGATGGAAAAGAACATATCCTTTATTGCTTAGGGGAGCGGTCCAAGTGTGTTTCCATACCAAAACCTCAGCCTTAAGTGAGTTTTTAACAAAACTCAAATTCTGTGGCCCCTCCCCAGATATACTCAATCACAAAGTGATTTAGAAAACAGTGTGTTTTAAAAAGCCCTTCAAGACATGATGTCACCTAAGAGTGATACCCAGTGGCTTAGTGTAAGGCTGGCTATATATACTTCAACAGGCACCAAGTAAGTCACTAACTGGAGGGTCAATATGGTGTTGTTCTATCACCAGGACTCTGGATATCCTACTCAGCCCTGGTATTTTGGTTTACATTTTTAAGATTAATAAGTTTTATTTTTTAGAAAGTTTTAGGG